GGGAGAAACTTTTCCAAGAAATCCTTAGGAGTCTTCTTCTTGTTGATGATCTTGATGGCCACTTTGCATTGTAACTTGTCGCAGTAGGCTGCTTTCACCTTGCCGTACGAGCCTTCCCCCAGCGTGACGCCCAAGATATAGCCTCTCTTTTTGAGCACTGTCTTCTCATCCATCGTGCGAGAGGCGCCAGAGTTACGGGGGCTGTTGCTGGGCGCGCATCATGTGTGTTGGCAGCCTCCGTGTCCCCAGTCCATGGTGGCCGCCTAGCACGTTCCCCTGCCGGGGCCGGGCGAGGTGGAACCGGGCCATTGTGTGAGGTGTGGTGTGGGGCTGTGATGTCGCTATGGAAAGAGACTGTTTGTGCTCCAGTGCGTCCTTCTGGGCTTAACTCCATGGAAAGAAGGAAATGGTGGGGAACCACAAGAAGTTTTTTTGTTCATGTAAGTGGATAGGGGGAAAAAAACAGGATTCTAGCTCTTTTTTGGTGGGTGGTAATTCTTGGAAAAAAAAAAAAACAAAAAACAAAAAACCACATCATGGTGTAATCATTAAAAGGGCTAAAGTTTCAATAAGCTTTAGAGAAGAGCCAGCAAGGATGCAAAAAGAGATGTTCTAACCTCATGGCTGCATCTCCATCATGGAGAAGGTKCCTTCAGCTGCTTTAAAGAAGTAAAGCTCTGAATGGCTCCAAGCTTTTATCGCCTCTCCTTCTCTTTGTGACGCACAGGTAGAAAACCTTGACCAGGGAGCAGCAACCACTGCGGCAAATCTATAAGAACAGAAAACCCTAAGACCACAAGGTGCTTTGAGCAACCACCCTGGGCAGTTCATGCAGCCCTGACCTGAGCCCCAGCAAAACCCCAGAAGCGGTTTCTGAGGACAGAATATTTTCTTTGCCTGCCTTAATGCCTCTAGCTTCTTCTGCACGGAGAACTTTTTTTTATAGAACCAAGAGTATTTCCTCAAGATGGAAGTAACTCTCCTGTGGCCTGATGCAGGGTGATGGGTGCTGCAGAGCAGGGCCAGGCTGCCCAGAGGTGGGCTTGGGTTCCATGGGTTGGCTTAGACGGTGGCTCTTGTTTGAGTTCCGCTAAAAGAACTTGGCACTGGTAACACAAAAACAACACAGATTTTTACTTCTTGGATTATTTAGCTCAGAAGTGAAGCTGTGGTTGGAAATGTTTGAGAGGACTGTGGTATTTCTGTGTAATAATAAAGGAAAGGGATCTAATTGCTCAGGGGAGGGAATGATGGAGAAATTAGTGCTTCCTCACATTTGCAGCTGTAGACATTTATGAATCTCTGTTCACAGAGGCACTGTCCTCAGAGCAACCAGTCTGCAAAGAGCAGCTCCAAAACGGGGCCCTTGGCTTAAAGCGAGAGCTGGGTTTGGGTGGTTGCTGTTCCATCCCTTGGCTCTGTTCCCCCTGGCAGAGCCAGGACCTGCCCCAGTGAGCCCGGGGAAGCTCTGCTCAGCACGTGGGTTGTGCTGGGGGGACAAGGGAACTTGGTGAACGATAACAAGAAGTGTCACGGTGATGCTGGATGAGCGCCAGCCAGGGAGCTGCGCGCACGGAGCTGAGCAGCCAGTCGGCCGCCCCAGGCCACGCTCCTGTCACCACAAATCCCTTTGTGAAGGGAATGACCGCGAGGCAGGTGAACAAGTCCCGGTGAAAAGGGTATTGTGCSTGGCCCAGGCCTTGCCCTTCATTCCCACCTCCATGTTGTCACCCTGCTGGGGTTGAGAGCGTTCAACACCATGAGGGGCTTCTTGGGGGCAGTGCCAACACTCGGGCCTCCCTGTGGGCCCAACCTGCCCTGCGCTCTCCTCTGAGCTGGGAACAAAGAGGATCACAAGCAGGGCATGGGCCTGCTCCTGGTCCTCCCCAGCTGGGAACTGCTGGATGTACCAGGCCTCAAGGACAACATCAGCTACCCCTACCTTGAATCTTGCCAACCTCATCATCCCTACAGCTCTGCACCTCAGTTTGGTCTAAAATGCTAAGACAAGATGCTTTCTCTGCCATTACAGTGGTAATTCCCTGCCCTGGTGCTACTCTGATCTTCATGTCTTTGTCCCAGAGGATGTTTTCATGCTTTGAGACCCTATGGGCAATATCTGGACAGCAACAGGATTTTAAAGCRCATGAAAGCTAGTGAAGTATCTATAAATCATAAGATAGCCCCTTGTAGCTCTTGTTGAGCTCCAAGTATGTGCCTCTCTATGACAATATTGACTTTCCTTACTACCTCAAACTTCTCATAAATCTTGGGGGCTCCCAAGGCTGTGGATATGTGTATATATATATATAGTTAATATTAATATTAAACTCCTTAATTTCACCTACATTAAAAAAAAAAAAAGCTTTGAAAGCAGGTTCCAGGTTTTGTTCTTAGTTCTGAGTTGAATTTTACTGAAAAGGTGGCATTTCTTGCAAAATAAGCTACCCGTTTCTTGCCTACGCTCCGTGGCAACCACAAGGCAAACAGCGTGTTCAGCTTCTCGTGGAGCTTGTGGTCTGCCTGGATGCTCTGGCATTGCCCCAAATACCAGGGCATCCTCTTAAACCAYCTGAGGAAATTCCAGCTTACCCAGGGAAGTGGATGTTCAAGGTAAAATTGCCTCTTTATCCTTTCTAATCAAATCTTGGGCCTCTTCAACAAGTAATGATTCTATGAACATCSAGGGTCTGGACCTTGGGTAGTGGCTTTTCTTGTAGAGAAGAGCCTTGGGAGAGGAGAGTTTATCGCTGTGCTCCAATTCCCCCCGGCTGGAGGGGCACGGATCGGCACGTGCCCCCGTGGGCCTGCGGGCTCTGCTCTGGGCTCTATGGCTGTAGGGCGAGCACAAGCTCGCGAGAGGGCAGAAATTGGGGGGCCCTCTACCTTGGTGGCCAAAACTACAAGACCCCTGAGGTGAGTGAGTGCTCTGAATGATGGGAGAAGCAAACCTGGTTTGTGCAGGCGGCGGAGAGGAGCGTGCAGAGATTTCTCCAGCAATCGCCGACACGTTCACAGCCGGAGCTTTGTACAGGGTGCCTGTCTCTGGGCTCTGAGAGGCAGCAGCTGAGAGACGTAGCTCAACGGCAAGGCACGGGGCATGTCAGGGGACAAGGACAGAGCGGAGGCACYGGCACTGGGATCAGTGGGTGGCACGCGGAGGGACCCGAGCAGGGGCACAGGGCAGAGAGTGGCAGAGGGAGACACTCCCAGGTGTTAAAAACACATTGGTTTGCAGCGAGCGTTGCCCTGGCAATGCCACCGCTGTGGGCTCCCCTGCGATCTCCAGGGCCGCGCTGCTGCTTCGTGCTGGAAACGAAAACCACCTAAATCACAATGGAGATGACAGTCGCGCTCCTCTGCTTCGGCGGGCTGCAGTCCGCAGCGCTGCAGCGCCCAGGACACCGCCGCCCTCCGCAGCTCTTCAGGGACAGCCACCACCCAGCCTGACGTGCAGCAACACCCAGGGTCAAATTCCTAAACGCGCCTGTCATTTGCAGGGCCATTAAAGATGATGTGAGCTGCATAATTACGCTTCTTTTTTTCCCTATGTATTTCCTCTCTGGAGGGGCTTGAGAACCTGGAGTGCATCTGTTTCCAGGAGCTATGGAAATAGCAGCCAGCCTTGTCACTGTTGTAATTGCAAAAGCTCTGTGCATGGTGAAACTAATGCACTTACTGCAGAAACGTCGCAGTGCTGGACACTGCAGAGTGTCAGGGAGGCACCCGCTTGTGTCTTGCATGCCTGAAAATCCCTGGAAAACCAGGAAAAGTGTGGGGAAATACGGTGTGTCTTATCCCTGCCCGGGTGTGATAGTAGGTTGGATGAAGTAGTCAAAGGACAATCAGCCTCAGTGACTAGTGGCAACTTGGTTTCTGCAAGGGAGCCCCGCTGTGCTTTGCTTCCAAGGGTGGTATGTGCAGCTCCGGACATTCCAGAGGCATCGGAGACCTGGGGCCAGGAAGCCTGTGGCAGGGAAAGGATGTCCCAGTGGGGATGGAGGTGCCTGGGAACAGCACCCTGGCTGGGGATGTGGTGGGGACTACGTTGTCAGGATGGAGAGGGCCAAGTAAGACCAGGGATCTCATCCAGGGAGGGAGAGAGGTGTTGGGACAAGGAGGTGGGGGTGACTTGCTAAGGCCTTCATGGGTGGGATGCTGTGACCAGGAAAGGCCATCCCAGCTGGCATGGAGGTGTCCTGTCAAGGCTGCCATGTGGGCACAGAAGTGTCTGGTCAAGGCCATCCAGGTGGAKATGCCAGTGATGCAGAGAGGCCCTCCAGGTGCACACAGAGCGAGTGTGGGAAGACTTCTCTGTCTGGGGACAGCGACAACCAGTGGACGCTCTCCCTGGGATATCCCACGGGGACAGATCCAGGCCATTCTGTTGCCTGGTGGCGACTGTTGCAGATGGGACAGACATGGTGGACCGATGCTACCCTAGCGGGGACAGAGCTGAGGGATCACGGCCACCGCAGCACAGACAGACGTGACAGGCGGAGGCCGCCCCAGCCCCGGCCCCATCGCTTCCCGGTTCCCGCCTTTCCGGGGTGGCCCCCCGCCCGGCGCCCCTGGGACCTGCGGCCACCCCCGGGCCCGGGTGGGCGGGGCCATTCCGCGGGGGGCGGGCCCAGCGCGCGGGGGGGCCACGGTGCGCGCGCGCCGTCGGCGGGGCGGGG